GGGGGCGAACCGGGTTGTGCAGGGAAATGCGCTTCGGTGTCCGCCTTCAGAGCAAACAAAAGTGCCCCTTCTTCAGAGAGAATCTCTTTGAACTGTGCCAGGAGGGTTATTAGTGTATGCCAAGCAAAAAGGAGTTGTGCTTTATTTTTAGCTTGTTCCTTGATTTTTTTAATCATTGAGCTTTTCTGTTCTTACAGCCGTGCTGTATTTTCTGCAGAGACTATGGAACAGTAACCTACCCTGGGTGAATTCCTTTTCAGCCTTTTCTCCCGTTAAAGTGAACCTATTTTTTGGAGTCCTTTGACAGTTCTGAAAAGCAATTTTCCAAGATTCATTCACCTTTTCAGCCCTGTTATTTTCTGTTCCTCCAGCTAGAATGCTTTTACAGCATCACTTAATTCAGCGTTGTGTTAAGGTGCTAAAAATAATTAGAGGTTGAATCTACACTTGTTCTAACACAAGTGTGAAAAGGTTTCCAGCTGAAGGAGTTGTAGTTGACAGCAGAATTACTGGGACTGAAAACACTGAATTAGAAGTCTAGCAGTGTTTTAAACTGGCCTGTGGAAGATGAGTGTTGGTAAAATCGAAAGCAGCATGTTACTGAAACAGGGCTGTAAACAGTGTTCTGGTCTAGTCTTAGTCTGAGCTCAGGAGAAACAAAAGTTCTTGAGGGAATTGCGGAAGTGCAGCAGAGCACCGTTTTGGATTTACCTTGAAGAGAAAACTGCTGGTAATTCTTTTAGTTCTTCATGCTTCTGTGAAGTTGTCAGTGCAAACTGGCATGTCCCTGCCTTTGAAAGAAAGTCTAGAATGTTCAATTCTTGTCAGATCACTCAGGTATTGCATTGGTTGCTAAGGTGTAAGCCACCCAGCAGACTGCAGGTGTTGTAAGGGGCTCTAAACAGACTTAATCCTGGTAAGTGCCTGTGCCACAGTCAGTCTTCTCTTGCTGCCCAGAGAAGCTGTGGATGCCCCATCCCTGGAAGTGTCCAAGGCCAGGCCGGATGAGGCTTGGAGCAACCTGGTCTAGTGCAAGGTGTCCCTGCCCATGGCAGGGAGGTTGGAACTAGATGGTCTTTGAGGTCCCTTCCCACCCAAACCATTCTATTTAGGATTCCCGTGTTCCAGAGTAACAAACCAGAGTGTTGACAGTTTGTTCCCTTTCCAGATCTGATGACTTCAGCACATGTTACCTTGCCAGTTCAAGTTGCTTTCTGAACAAATGAAGTGGTTAGGTTACCTTAAAGTTTGAGCTTTTTCTTACTGTCTTCTGGTTCCGTAGCAGCTCATATCAATGCTTGTACCCAACCCCTTCTGTGCCTAGGAAATGGTACTGAATTCCCCTGTTTTCACAGAATCATGGAATGGATTGGGGTGGAAGGGACCTTAAAGCCCACCCAGCCCCACCCCCTGCCATGGGCAGGGACACCTTCCACTAGACCAGGTTGCTCCAAGCCTCATCCAGCCTGGCCTTGGACACTCCCAGGGATGGGGCATCCACAGCTTCTCTGGGCAACCTGTCCCAGTGCCTCCCCACCCTCTGCGGGAAGAATTCCTTCCTGACATCTAACCTAAACCTCCCCACTTTCCATCAGTCAGGTTTCGTTTCATGAATAAACTTCACATGTGAACTGTGGGTTTGTTCTGAATCGTTAGGATTTGGGTGCAGTTCTGCACATCCTCTTGTCCACGCGTGGTTCTGTTTACTTCTGCGCAAGTAAATTTTCCAGAACTGGACTTTCAAGCCTTTCAGTTCCAAATGAATTAACCTATAGTTTCTGTTCATGGGAGCGGAACGAGTTGGTGAACTCTACCAGGGCATGATCCATAAAGCAGTATCCGTTGTACTTCTGCTGGCTGCCTGTTGGCTGATGTGCTTCCGAGAAATGTACCCAGGGGTTTTCATCGATTTTCATACATTTTTCACTGTAAACAAGTCTGACACTTTGGTTCTTGGACAGAAGAGCTTATTCCTTCGGAGGAGTTTGTAAATTCCAGCATAAGGGCATTTCATAGCATTTTGGCACTGTTGCACCTTTAAATTCCTAAGTAGTAGGAGTGATGTAGTAGCCAGCGAGATGATGTCATTAAGGTGTCACTTTGGAGGTCAAGCGTCTGCCTGCCCCTAAATCTTCAGCAGTAGATGAAGACTGTAGTGCTAAAATCTTTGAAAGGCACTTGAAAAGGCTTATTTGCCTACATAACGGTGTGGCTGGTGTTGCTGTGCGCTGCCCACTGCAAACGTGTGGGAAACTGATACTTGGAAGCGGTGGGATGTCACGCAGCCTAAAAATCTTCTTTCCTGTGCTTTAGGGAACAAGTGCAGAACAGGACAATCGCTTCAGCAACAAGCAGAAGAAGCTGTTGAAGCAGTTGAAATTTGCAGAATGCTTAGAAAAGAAGGTAAGTGGATTAGGATGAGATGGGAAGTAAAACACATCAATCAAAGGTGACTTGTTTCTGTTGCAGGTTTTCTAGAATAGCGTGTTGGAAAGGCATA